ATTAATAAATACAGTAAAGAGTTTATACAGTACGGTACTGTAAATTGCTCTGTTTTGCTAAATTATCACCATTCTTTAAGACTCCTGGGTAGGCTAGGCCATCTTCGACTTACGATATTTTCGACTTACGATGGGGTCGTCGTAACGCATCTCCATCGTAAGTAGAGGACTACCTGTACACACTACTGGGGGCGGGACAATAGAGCAAGCCCTGGCAACATCATCACCACCCGAATTGCATCAAGGATGGGGAGTGAGGTCAATGGATCAGCTGTTGCTCAGAAGCTGATTGGGGGGAGTGGGAAGAGGCGTGGAAGGTGATTGGCTGGGAGGGTTGCATGGAAACAATCGGAAAAAGTTCAAGAGAAAGCACAAGAAGGATTCAAGGCTTTTTTTCCAGGAACCTCTCTATGCGTGTGTTTAACACGAAGGCTTTTGCGACCAATGTTTTCCCAAAATAGAGTTTTTTCTTGGATTAGATCATGTAAATATAAATGTGTCGTTAAACCCACCACCACTCGACACAACCAATTTGTAAGGTTTGTGATGTAAACAAAACATGCCAATTCGTTACTAGTTCAGCACAGTGGTGTGTCGAAGAGCAAACCCACAACATTTACAATTCTAATACAACGTTTTGCCGGTAATTACACTGAGCCTAATCAGGCGACAGCCAGACTCGTTGAGACATTCTCCTGTTTCAGTCTTAAATTGATGGATAAATGTGGGTCATGCCCAATTTGCTATTCAATGTTTACTCAATCACACTGACATAAGTTATAGACCTAAGGTCTCCTTATTGTACATAACAGTGTTTTAACAATTGCCAAATTTCATAGCCATTGATTAACTGACATTTTTTACAGCTGTTTAAAGTAATATTTTTTGTTAATTGAAAAACTGACGCATCTAGCCTGAGATTTGTAATATAGTGTCTTTACAAAGGACAATACAATGGTATGAATATATAATAGTGAGGATGGTGAATAGTCTGTCCTCAAATTTAAAAACCTCACCCCTCAAGGAAATGTAAATGCTGTAACTTCTTCATAGATGAACTAAAACAGGGGTCGTTAATAAAAATAACAAGAGCCATTTTTTTCCCGAATGCCGCAACGTATGTGAATACACACACACCGTCACCAAGCAGTACTTAAAGAGCCGCATACGGCTACGGAGTCAAAGGTTGCCGACCCCTGAACTAACAATAGCATCGTTGTGGAGAATATAGGTTACAACATAAATAATATAATCAGACTGAGCCTTCTTCACATATCGGTGCTTGCCTATGAACCTCTTGCAGTTCACGAACATCGGTTCAAGCGAGGCTGACTGCTGATGAGACACTGACATTCTCAACAGGTTTAGAGTTTTCCTTGTGTTTAACCAATGCTGCTAAAAGTATGCGCTCCCAAGAAGGCCGGTGTGGCTGATGGGTTGTGTAAAACATGCTTTAATTTTGTATGTGGATAGACAAACATGAGGAGGGGTTATTATATTGTTATTATAAAATGCATAACGCGATATCCATGCGCGTGGTTATTACTGTGGAAGTGACACGCATTGCGGGCCTGGTGAGTGGGAGGGGCTTGTTATGGATGGGCGGAACTATGCGAGTCATAGGCGACGGGGTTATGAGCTCCTCCAGCAGGCAAGGCTGCGTTGGCTGGGTCATGTAGCCCGCATGCCCAGCCACCGCATGCCCAAACAGCTTTTGTTCGGCCGGATAGAAGGGGCTAATCGGGCGCCGCACAGGCTATAGAAGAGGTGGAGTGATTTGGTACAGAAGGACGTGGAGCTGAGTGGACTTGCCGATGACTGGTACCAGCGGTGTCAAGATCGGCCTCTGTGGAGGAGGCTCGTGAAGGACGCTGCTAATGGGCAGTTGGAGGCAGTCGCCCTCCAGCAACAACGGAGGGCGGAGGAGCGACGCTCACAACAACGATCGGAACGCCGGGTGGCTAAGACACAGCAAGTTGGCACAGTAGGGGGTACAGGTGGTGCATCAGCCAGTCATCTTAGTCGACCCATGGCACCTGGGCCTGTCCCGTGACCTCCTGCCAGCGGGCGTTCAACACTTCACGTGGCCTTAAAGTGCACATAGCCTGGCACAGGTGCCGTGGTGACGTCACCGACACTTCGTGGTGAATGGCGGGTTAGGGGCAATGGCGAAGCCAGGATTTTCAGGCAACCCCTCCAGCAATGAAAAATGAGAGGAGTTGTTAGTAAGGAGTTGTTAGTAAGTTAAGAGTTGTTAGTAAGTAAGGAGTTGTTAGTAAGTAAGGAATTGTCCCTTGCTTTTTATTCGACGCGTGTGCGGCGATGGCGCAGCCATCGATCGAGGGTCGAATTCGAACCGCGTGGTGTGATCGGCTTCGCGGTCGCTGAAGATTTTGATGCCTTCAGGGAAGTCGTGTGCTGTATACGCAACTGCGCACAATTCTGAGTCACTTATAACCGCTTTGCCGTTACTTATTGCCAATTATGGACTATTGTCCTATCACCTCATGCAGTCCCTGGCACATAATAATATGCTACACAATGGCAGTGGGGGTCGCAAAATTCCGATTTATTACTAATAAACCCCAATGATCCGATCGAAATTAGGGATTTCGATCGGGGCCATCCATTGAGTACGCATGGGGGGGGGGGGGGGATTAACCCAAAGGCGCTCGCAAAGGAAACGGGGTGGGGGAGGGGGGGTGAAGCCTCGATAATTATTTGTCGACATTGCCATTCAAATGAGTTAGATAGTCCGGCGGTGGACTATCTGTTTGCTTAAACACGTTAATATTATTAATCCTTCATCGTGTCTGCGTGGATTAAATATCGGCCGTTCTGTAGGATTCGGGGGGGGGGGGGGGTGCGCCAGGCGAACGTACAGGGAGCAGGGGGAGGGGTCAGGTCACGCACTTAACGGATGGGCCCTCACGTCCACAGCGGGCGCTGCTTTTGAAAAGGGGCGTAGTTTTGTGGCTCGTAGAGGCGGGGTTATGTTGATAGTCTTGTGGCTCGTAGAGGCGGGGTTATGTTGATAGTCTTGTGGCTCGTAGAGGCGGGGTTATGTTGATAGTCTTGTGGCTCGTAGAGGCGGGGTTATGTTGATAGTCTTGTGGCTCGTAGAGGCGGGGTTATGTTGATAGTCTTGTGGCTCGTAGAGGCGGGGTTATGTTGATAGTCTTGTGGCTCGTAGAGGCGGGGTTATGTTGATAGTCTTGTGGCTCGTAGAGGCGGGGTTATGTTGATAGTCTTGTGGCTCGTAGAGGCGGGGTTATGTTGATAGTCTTGTGGCTCGTAGAGGCGGGGTTATGTTGATAGTCTTGTGGCTCGTAGAGGCAGGGTTATGTTGATAGTCTTGTGGCTCGTAGAGGCGGGGTTATGTTGATAGTCTTGTGGCTCGTAGAGGCGGGGTTATGTTGATAGTCTTGTGGCTCGTAGAGGCGGGGTTATGTTGATAATGATGGGTGGTGCCTCGCGTTTTGCGCGGGGCTGGCTTAAAACACGTGGAGTCTCCCCGACACGCAGCAAGCGTCCAGACTTCATTCATTCGTGGCGCCGCGTCTGCTGCTCCAGGCCGCTACTGAAGAAGAGGGGGAGGTAATTGATGCCGTGCGGTGCACCCTGTTACACACAGACGGCCGTGACTACATGTGGAGGCCCTTTTGTCATTACACTGCTGGGCGAAAGCCTCCATACTTCACCATAGTGGTCAGTGCGGATTGGTTGTCTGTAATTTATGCACTACTGGCAGAGAGATGTATTATAATTAATCAACTGTATTGTATCAAGTTGTCCGGAATAGGCCTGCTCTCATTAGCTTGGATGGGTGACCACCATGTATTTAACAGGTGTTATAGGCTGTGGGGATACGTGGTGGGCGGCAGAGGGTGAGTGCAACAACACAATGTGATTACTTTATATGCTGCCACGTGTGTGTTCCCGGAATTTCACCGACCCGCATTAGAAAGCGTGGCGAAGTATGGTCAAAAATCCCGACGACCACACACTGCGTGGAGTGAGGGCCTCGTCCAGCAGTGGACTGACAAGGACCCCCCCCCCTACCCGTGCATGCCCAGGAAACACGGCGCCTGCGGGTGGCGGCCTCGGCACTGCGATTGTTGTCCTTTGTGAGCGAGCCGGCCGGTCTCGGCATGCCGTGCCCGTGGACCCTGACCCTGAGCCGTGAGGTCAAGGTCACGGCATGGGCCGAGCAGACGCCGCGGCGAGTGGCTCCGCGTGTGCGGTGGCCCCGTTGGGCTGCTGAGTGCGGCAGGGCATGGCAGGCGAGGGCAGTAACGTGCAGCAGCGCCTCGCGCACGCAGCACACGCGTGTCCAGGCAGCACACGCGTGTCCAGGCAGCACACGCGTGTCCAGGCAGCACACGCGTGTCCAGGCAGCACACGCGTGTCCAGGCAGCACACGCGTGTCCAGGCAGCACACGCGTGTCCAGGCAGCACACGCGTGTCCAGGCAGCACACGCGTGTCCAGGCAGCACACGCGTGTCCAGGCAGCACACGCGTGTCCAGGCAGCACACGCGTGTCCAGGCAGCACACGCGTGTCCAGGCAGCACACGCGTGTCCAGGCAGCACACGCGTGCGCCGTGTCACTCCGCGGCGGCTGTGAGCTCCCTCGAGAGGGCTTGCTGTGTGAGAGTGCATTGTGTGAGCCGAGTGCGAGTCTGGTGCGAACGCCGCAATCTGACACCACAGACACCGTTTTGTCTGTGCTGCAAGTTGTTTTCAAGCGGAGCGACGCGGACTGCGTCGTTTGGGTGTCTAAGGCGAGGCGCGACCAAAGTCGTCGCCCTGAAGCCCGGCAGAGTTTGAGCCTGGTTAGTGCTCGGATGGGCGAACGCCTCGCACAAAGCCAGGTGTAGAGGGCAGTGCAGGAAAATCCACTACTGTACTAGTGTGTATCCCACCCAACTAATCCACCTTTACCAACCCACACTGACAAACGTGGTGAAGTATGATCAAATAACAGACGGAGCAGTCCACGCGTAGATCATTACACGCAGAGGGAACCGTCAACAAATCCACATTTTGCGTTTACTTTTTCCTTGCGATCATGTGGGCACCAAGTCATTGACCCACGACGAGTGAGGAGCGGCTAGTAATTAAACATTATTTACTTCTGCAGGAAAGCTACACTTAGTCATAGGACCCGGTTGGCTACGTATGGTGTGAAAGAAGTTCAACACACAGTACATTAAGATGTTGCCAGAAATCGTACTCGTGTTTATAAGCATCCACGTAAAGATATTTTTTTACATTTTCGCGAGCTCCTTTAAACTACAGCCAGGCTAATCCGCCTGTGGTCGGTTGAAAGTGAAGTCTATCGAGTAATTCTTGCAGGCAATGGTGATGGATTACAGGAGATTTAATGATTGACTTCACGGCGAAGGTTGCAAAGTCGGGCTCGAGATTAATACGATACGAATATATCTTGAATACTCTTTGGTTCTTTCGGTCAAGTCACGTAGGTATAAAATAAAATATTGTTTAATATTTTATTGTATAATATTTTATGGATTCTTACAGTCACGAAAGCTTCAAAATCAAGATTAAATCTTGAATAGTTCGCCACACAATTGGGAGTCTGGTGAAGGGACGCAGTGCGCCAAGGACTGCTCTCCAAGGGGGACTGAAATAATGCAAACAGGAGGGCTTTTTAAACCTGAACTTAATCATGAAGATCATAATGCCAGTGTTGCTAAAGAAGAGTGTTTTATAACCTGCAATAACATGAAAATGTAACATTGACAAGAAAAATGGAGAAAAAATATAAATATGGCGCTGATTGAATACTTTTGTAAACCAACGTTTGTTGGAAAGCGTTACACATTTCCATGCATATGCCCCTGTGGGTGGTAATGTGACCTTTCGATTTGTAACATTACACCGTTTCATATCCTTAGGTTTTTTCGGTAAAGTCACGTAGGTAAAAACATTAAAAAGTAAAATAAAATAAAAATCACGACGTTTCGGAGGCAACACAAGCTTCCGTCTTCAGGTGGTACCGTCACAGCCATGACAGCTGTATCAAGTAAATGAGATATTTCATGAGTTACCACTGCGTTTATATAATGGTTGGAGAAGGTGGTGGGGCATGGGCCGCATCTTTATTATTAATATGGTAAGGTGAGGCTTGAGACTAAGAATAGACTGCATAACAAAGGCTGAGCCTTATGGAGAGGTGCGGTTTGTGACTCAACCTGTAACAGGGAGACCACCACTAAACATGGTTAAACAGTAATGGTTGTCTGTCAAATAAGATTGGCAAATAAGTGTAGTTAAATCTTTTTTGCATGGTTAATCACATCGTTCCAATGATTACTCAGTTTGTAACCGTCATCACGGTTGAAATTATGTCTGTGTTATGTCTGTGTTTGTATATACAAACAGACATAATTTCAACCGTGATGACGGTTACAAACTGAGTTTGTGAAGATAACTACTCAGGTTCATTGTTTACCATTATGAGTTGACATGTTACAATAATTATGTTTGTGTACACAAAACTCTTTTTGGATTTTTGGGTTGCTCAATTTCCCTTTTTTTTGATGCGCTTTTATAACGCTACCACGGTTTACTGCCAGGCTGTGATTTCTGCTTATTTATTCAATGCATTTATATTGTTTCCATCGCTCACGTCACGCTATTTACTCATACGTAGTACTGCGATACTGATAGCTGTGCCATCATCGGGGATTGCTGTGCCCGTCGATGTGTGTGTGTTTGAGTCCATGTGTGTGTCTTTGAGTCCATATGTGTGTGCGTGTAGAGCCATGCGTGTCTTTCACTCTATGTGGGTGTCCTTTTCGAACGGACAACGTCAAAAGTGTTTATGTGTGTGTTAGTCCATGTGTGTGTGTCAGTCGATCTGTGTGCGTGTACGTCGATGTGTATGTCAGTCCATATGTGTGTGTTAGTCCACATGTGTGTGTAAGTCTATACATGTGTGTGTCACTCGATGTGTGTGTGTAAGTCAATGCGTCTGTGTGTTAGTCCATATGTGTGTTAATCCATGTCTATGTATCTAAAGTATATATCTGTGTGTCACAGTCCATATGTGTATGTGTGTGTAGGGCTATGTGTGTGTAGGGCTATGTGTGTGTCAGTCTATGTATGTGTAAGTTCATGTGTGTGTGTCTTAGTCCATATGTGTGTGTGTGAGTACATATGTGTATTTTAGTCCACGTATTGCTGTGTGCGAGTCGGTGTATGTGTGTGTGTCGCTGTATGTGTGTACGTCGATATGTGTGTGTAACTCCATGTGTGCGTATCTCAAGTACATGTCTATGTATGTGTGAGTCCATATGTGTGTGTGTCTGTAAGTCGATGTGTTTGTGTGTCTCAGTCCATGTGCGTGTGTGTTAGTCGCTGTGTGTGCATGCCTCCATGTTAGTCAGTGTAACTTCATTTATTTGCGTGTCTGTAGGTCCATGTGTGCATCTTAGTCCATGCGTGTGCTTTATTGACCTGCTCAAGGCCTATGATACCATCAGTAGGCCTGGCCTCTGGGTTGCTCTTCGTGCTTTCCGAGTCCCGAACCCACTCATCACCATCCTTAAGGACCTTCATGATGGTGAGCGGCCCCGTGTCTTAACTACGTGGCCGTGAGTCAGAGCAATTCCCTTTACACCTTGGGGTGCAACAGGGATGTCCTCTGGCTCCCACATTGGACCACGTAGTTCGTCGAGCCTTCAATGACTGTACCGGAAGAATTCCCATCTGCTACAGATATAATGGGAGGCTGATCGATGCCCGGGTGCGGTCAAGGGATGGCTCCCTATTGCTCAACCACGTTATGTATGCCGATGATCTGCTAATGGCTGCTCACTCGGAGGAGGAGTTTCAGGTGCTGCGGCTGAACCTGGAGCTTGCCACCAACAGGTGGGGCCTTACCATCAGCCCAACCAAAGCTAAGCACCGGCCTGGCTATTTTGTACCATCGGACACTCCACCCCCACAACTCCCAATTGGTGATGGGCCAGTTGTGGAGACAGTGGAGAGTTTCCCTGGGCAGTGTGCTAATGACCGGCTCCGGTTTAACAGCAGAGGTCTCACTCCGAATCAGTCGAGCTGCAGTATCTTTTCATTGGCTGCGTAACGCTGTGTGGAAGCTACCTGGTCTATCACTCCGTACGAAGCTTCAGGTGTTCTCGGCCACGGTCATTCCCTCCCTTCTCTACGCTTGCGAAACTTGGACCCCCTAATGGAACATCTTCGCCAGTTACATTTAGGCTGACCTGCCTACGATCCATCCTGGCTTTAACCAGGCTGCATTGTGTGAGGAGCTCACAAATCCTTGAAAGATGTGGACAAAGTCCCATTGGTGACCTCCGGCAGGCAAGGCTGCGTTGCCTGAGTCATGTAGCCCGCATGGCCAGCCACCACATGCCTAAAGAACTTTTGTTCCGCCGGATCGAGGGGGCTAAACGGGTGCGGCACGGGCTGGAGAAGACATGGGAGTTATGTGCTTCAGGAAGACTTGGAGCTGAGTCCACTTGCGGATGACTGGTACCAGCCATGTCAAGATCGGCCACTGTGGAGGAGGCTCCTGAAAGACGCTACTGGCCAGTTGGAGGCAGTC